AATTAACTGGTTAATCAGATCTTAAGTATAATGTCTGCCATAGGCCTAAGTGCTGTTCATGATTTAGCTCTGCCCATGCTAGCATGCTCAGTAGAACTGTGCTCCAGCTGGGTAGCAAAATAGCATCATACAAGCATGTGTGTAAGGCTAGGAAAGTCCAAAAGACATGATGAAAGGAGAGGGAGCTGAGGAAGATCTTCCAACCTTTTAGCTCAAAAGGTAAACTACTAGGGAGCAGCGTCCCAGGTTCTAGAGCCCTTCACTCAGAGGAGCCACATCCTCTGTTTGCTGGCACGCTGATTTCAACACCAGATCATAGTCCAGTCCTCCTCTTATAAGTGGTCCACTGAGATACTAAGAGAGGGAGATATGTGGGGTCAGGAAGAAGGGAAGATATGTGGTGAGAGGGATGACATCCCAGTGACAGGGATGCTTCCTTAGCTGGAAGGGGCCACTGGGTTCTGGTCTGTACCACTGCTCCCAGTGGGACAGGAGCTTTCTCAGTGTTGCTTATACAATGAATGTTAAATGCAAGGTGCACGGAGCCAACCTCAGGAGCAGCGCAGGGGAAATGTCTAGCCCTAGTGTCCAACCTGTGGCACAAATGTCACAAGTGCACAGGCAACCTCTGTGTGTAGCACATGGAAGACTGGGGAGGGGGCAGACAGCACAATAGCAGATAGGGCAGGAAGCATCAAATCAGGCAAGAAGCACAGGGTAGGAAACATCCAATCTGCTGCTCAGTTGTCTAAGGGAAATGGATCTAAGTAGAACTTGGGGAGGGTGCAGGGCTAATTTGTGGCACACCTGCCAAAAACTTTGGGCTCCACTGACTAGTCTATGGCCTCAGCTGGGGGCTAAGGCCTGGATCCTCTGCTCCAGTGAAAATGCCCTAAGTTATAAGGTTAAAAGGTGGGAGCTCCTCCATTAAACTTCTGGCATGTGCATATGCAGGACAATTCTATTTTCCTACAGGGCAGAATATAATCATAAACTGTATGAACATTAGGGCTGTGTGAAATTTCACTGGCTGTTTCAATTCAACACTGTTTCGACTCATTTCAAGCTTGAAACAGTGAAACTGAATCAAAATGAAGGGCTTCGAAACAGCCTCAAAACAAAATTTCAAAACATTTCATGGTTTCGAAGCAGCCAGCAGCAAGGTGGTGAGAGACAGGGGAGAACCAGGGCTGCACTCCCAGCAGCAGTGATCAGTGCCTGGGCTGACTCCCTATCCTCAGCCAATCTAGCAAAACTCAAAACAGAGTCAAAACAACCTCACTGTTTCAACAAAGCAAAACAGAACAGCTCTTTCAAATTGAAATGAAATTCGATACGAAATGCTGTTCCGTCAAAACCTTGAAACTCAAGGTGAAACATAATGGTGCCATTTCACACAGACCTAATGAACTTGCCAAAAGCTGCAGCTATGTGGCTGCCTACACACTGCCTTCTCACATAAAGTGAAACAGGATTTATTCTATCATCTTCTAGAAATCCAGTAACACTGTACAGCCTCTTCTCCTCTTGGGTACCAGAGCTGTTCTGGGGGCCAGATCTCCATGGGGGGGAAGAGGGTCAGGACGTGGACTTGTTTCTCCCCCCTCTAGAAAATTGTTAATACCTCTGGATGGAAAGGTCAGTTTGTGTCCCTTAGGCACAAGGTACATGAGGCCAAAGAAAAAGACATAGTGCTGTAAAGCTGTAATAATTAGGGGTGCAGTGATAGAGAACTTTTGGGCTCATACCAATGTCTAATTTTTAACAAGCCATATTGTTTGATACCGATCCAATTCTGATATGCAGCTAGGCAACATGAAGAGTGGCATCTGGCTGGTAAGTCTGTTATGAAGGGGGTGGGGAGAAGATGGAGGCCTCTGCAGTGAGGGAGGGAGTGTGGCTGGGCCTGGGACAGGGAAAGATGCTGCAAGGCTGGGGTGGAGCAGGGGATGGAGCTGTGAGCATCTCGTCCAAGGGGCATGTTGGGGGATGGCTCCTGCTGCTGCATGCACCCTAAGAAGGCATGGGGAATGCCCCCGGATCTGCGTGCAGGGTGAGGGTGGACTGCCACTGCAGGCTGGGGCCAGGCAGCACCAAGCTCCTCCTGGTGTGGGGCTGGGCCAGGCTGTGCTCAGGGTAGGTGGCAGCAGCTATGGGAGGGTGCTATGGGGGGCATTGCAGCCACCGCAAAATTCACTGTAGTCTCCACTCCCAGCACCACCATTGCCTGCCCCAAGTGCAGCCTAGCCCAACCATCACCAGGAAGAGCCTGGAGCCACCCCAGCCCCAGGCTGCAGTGGTAGCCTGCCCTCGCCCCGCACACAGATCCAGGAGCACATTCCCCCCATTCCTTCCTGGGGTTCATGCAGAGGCTGGAGCTTCCCCCCCACTCTGCACCCACAGACTCAAGATTTAGCTCTCTCCTGCTGATGTGTACCAGCAGTAGCAGTCTGTGCATGGCTGTCATAAAACATGATAATGCTGAGGCAATAACATTGAGAGGGTTCCTGTCTAGTGCAATGGTTGTCAACTGGGGGTACTTAAAAGGTTTGTAGGGGGTATGCAGGTGAATGCATGCATGTGTGAAGCCATAGTGCAGCATGCAGGCAGCCAGGAGTGTAGCCCAGCCACATGGAGAGCAGCTGGGTCATGCTGGTAAGTTTGCTGTGGGGGAAGGGAGTGGGGCCAGCAAAAGGACTGCTGTCAGGGTGGGGAGTGGGACTGAGCTGCATGAGGAGGGGGCAACTCCTGCTGCTATTGTAGCAAAACCCCCAGTTTTTCTTTTTTTATTTATTTTAAAATGCATTCCCTCCCCTTCCCCAACCATTTCTGACTTTTTCTCTCCTTCTCTATACCCTATAGATAAGTATAAATAAGCTAAGATGTACGATAAGCTTTAACATTTTATTTTAGGTAGTAAGTTTTATTTTTCTCTCCCCTCTTTGGAAAGAAGTTACCTGCTATTTTGATATTGATACACACTGTTTTATAAGTGATAATCATTATGTTTGTATTGCTTGTATATTGTATGGTTACTGTTTTAGGCCTGTATATGTGTAAGTTAGCGTAAGTCGTCAAGTTTCCATTTTGTATGTCAAGCCTCCATCTTGTGTCCTCTGCCCGGGCATCCCCTGTGTTGCAACTGTATGAGTCATGTACCCCTCCCATGTAAATTGGTTCCCAGATGAATGAGAGTGATTGGGAATGATTG